GGACAGTATCTGAAAATATGAATCATTCAAGGCTCGTGCAATAATTTTAATGAATCGCAATCAGCAAGTGTATTTATTGTTTTTTTTTTGCTGCACTGTTTTCGCTTATTATCCCAATTAATAATAACAATAGCCGAAATTGCGTGTGATGTAATTGGTGTGACGTGCAGGGCATTTTCTGCTTTCGAGATTACAGCTATACCGTTCGGTAAATATTTACTAAATCGGTTATCGGTTCTAATCAATAGAAATGCTGGATTTGCTTATCGAGTAAGGCAATTTGTAGAAATTGTATAAAATAAAATGTATTAAATTTGTAGTAGCAAATCCATTTGTATAGTGTTTAAAATTTTCAATGTAAGGCATTAGTTTCAGTGCATAATTGTTATTTGCACTGAGAATTCGGAGATGAATCATAAGATTATGAGAAATTAGTAAAATAAATTCATTAAGTTATCACGACTGATACTGACTAATTAAAGATAATTTTAATTAAATCATTGTTGTTTCTAATATATATATACATATAAATTTTATGATTATTATATCATTATATTAAATTATTTTTTTCTGGTTTGAAATAGATTTGAAAGAAGTTTCGTCGATTAAATCACAACATTACATCGCAAATAATTTAAACAAATTTACATTTACATTTTTATGTTTCACATAAAAGTAGATTCGCGAATTGATATGAATAATAATTACAAAATATAATTATATATAATTACATCACACAAATAAGTTATGATTATCAATGAAATTGTCTAATCTGCAAAAATTCACAGACTTTATTTCACGAATGTTGTATTTTTAGTACATTTTTAAAAAGTCATTCACTGACGAGCAGTTTTTTATCATTTATTTTGATTAGTTTGCAGATAAGAACTAAAGTTATATTAGGTTTTATTTATAAACTCGAAATCCCGAAAATAACGAAAAAATAAAGCAGTTTATCTCATTGTCATTAATTATAGTGAAAACCGATCAGTTATAATATTAATAGCATAGTTTCATTTCTTAATTGGAAGAAAAGTTTACATTACACAAAATGACGCAACATATTATAATATTATTTAATTTACATACTTGCAATTTTTCTTATAATATTTTGTGGTAAACAGAAGTAACTTTTGCAATTTGTAAAAATTAAGATATTTAGAAAATTATATGTTTGGTAAGAAGTTAACTTCTGCAAGTTGTCAAAATTAAGAAGTTGATAAAATTATAGTTTTGTTAATTAGTCAACTTTTAGAATTATTTTTTTGGTATGAATAAATTAAATTCTGCAAGTAGTCAATAGAAATATAGAATTGGTAAGAATCAGTTAACTTCTGAAAATTATCAAAATTAAGTAATCAATTTCTATAAATAGTCAAGATTAAGTAATTTATACAATTAGTTTTTGAAAGAACGGTACTGAAATCTAATTATTAAGTAATTAATGGATATTTTTTTTATAAATTAAAATAAATTTGCATTCTTTATGATTATATAAAATATTTTAAAGAATATTTAGCATGAAAAAATAACTTGTATTTCAACTATGTAAATATATTTATTTGTATCACTAATTACATAATATTTATAATAATTTGGTATACGTTATAACAAAATTACCTTCAGTAATAAAATTTGCTTTTTTTAAATATAAAAAGATAAACGTAAAATATTTAACCATTTTTGGGGCTATTATTAAATACACATCTAGATGCAATAAAATTACCTTGAAATATAAATGAAAATAAAGTGATTTATAATAAAAAAAAATCATCATAATAGCCAAGGACTTCTGTCCGAAACTGTTGCTTATTTCGCATGAAATATGAACGAAACACGGAAGGGAATATTCTTCGAGCGGTTCGGAAAGTTTAATATCTAAATTATTAACGTCTCCGGTCACGAAAGCGTATTATTTCTGGATTGTTAAATAATTCAAGGAATCGTGCGGATGGGAATAAATGAAAGACACTCGAATTATATTGGCGGGTTTTTGATTCGGTGCAAATTAAAAAGACGCAATAACGTTAATCATTAAAGGACATACCGATGCGACTCGAATACTAAATTAATTGCGTGGGTATTTGTAATAATAATTAGTTGTATTTACCTTTGGTATACGCTGTTTAAAAGTGATATCAGGCTCCAGAAAAGTTGGATTGTGATCGAGACGAGGTGTTGGATAAAGTTTTTCATTATCACGAAAATTATCGAATAATAAATCAACAAAAAATGTTTGAAAATAAAATTAACACAATGTTTTGTTTTTTTTTGTAAGTAAATTAAATAGATGTTCTTGCGTTCGAGTCAGGTGGATAGAAGAGTCACATTGTAGTTTTCACCGAACTTAGTGCACTGAGTTGTATTAGCTCGTGGAGACGTCTCTCGCATTCTTTTACGAGCAAATGGGATTATAATGCCTCGCTTTGTAAAAGTAAATATTTTAATACGATTAGGAACGACTCGCTCACATTTACACACACTGACAACTCTTTTCTTGACTCTTGACTCACTCGTGTAGCGCTCACCGATAGTGCCGAACGAATGGCGTGAGGCTCGAACGCAGCCTTTTTAAATACTCTCAAACGCAGTTGTGCACTACTACTGCCTTATCATCATTCAACTGCTATCGTACACCATCTCTCAGGCCACAAGGCGGATCCTTATTGATTTTAATAAACGGAACATTTTGAACGCGACGAAAAGTTAATTAACCCCGCCAATTGACCGGAGAGCCAAGAAAACAATGAAACTTTCCTATGGTTTTACGATTTGAACATTTAATTTATTAAATCTGGGAATAGTATGCTCTGGTCCTGATTCGTCGGGCTGTCCTTCAGGTTCAGTGTTGAAAGCAGTGTCAGATTGTCCATCTCCGAGTAATCGGGTTCCGGTTGAGACAATCCTGGTATAAGATCTTCCTTCTTTTCAATCGTCGCCTCGTCCAGACCTTCGAGCAAATTGTGCTCTTTGATTTCAACGCCGTTTTCTATTTCGTCCTCATCGTTGTCCTAAAAAAAATATTGAAATCGATAATTTGTCAATAAATAATTAGATCTTACAGCTGCAATCGGCGTTGTCGATTTGTACTGGAACGCGTTGTTGGATAGGTCAACCTCGATCGGAAATAGAGGAGGCTTGCTGATTAAACCCATAGTTTTCAAGTTCAAAGTCGACAGCCCTTGGATCAATTTGGTTAAGTGACCACCCAGACTCTCAACGTGTTTGTTATCCAGAAGATCCATTTTTACGAGCACGTCAGAACGAAGCCTCGCAAATTTTCCTCTTGCTACTTGTCGACATCTCAAAATTAACCTTATAGAAAAAAATAGATTTACATTATTTTCTTCCACTTCAGACGATGATCACTTTTAATTTAACATTACAATCGTGTATATTTTTAATTTTATAATCATGATTTATTCATTGTTTCCACTTCTTTAGATATTATTAGTTTTAATTGTAATTAAATAACATTCTAACCATTTCTTACAATCAAATTAAAAAAATACTCCATAAGATGACATTAATATTGATTAAAATACAATTTTATATTTATCTTTTCTTAAGAAAATATAGAAAACCTAACATATCATAAAAATGTTCTAATCTAAATTTTACAAAAACTATTTTTATCGTTTTAACTCTAAAATTAATATGATTCATTCTTTATTTCACTTGCACTTTTTAAAACAATATTAATTTGAATTGAAATTAATTATCATAGAAAAAATATTTTATTATTGAGATAGTTTTATGTTTTCTCATACTCCATTCATTATTTTATTCCTTTCACTTCTTAGGATGATATTCATTTTTTTATTGAAATCGAAACATATTTTTACTTTCATAATTATATAGAGAACGTCTTCTTATTGATGTATTATCATGGTAATATAGCAACTTGTAATTAAAATACAATTTTTGCAACGCCTTGCATATATTTTATAATTAACATCCTACTGGAATGTTCGATTTTTTTTTATATTATTAACTTATATAATCATTATTAATTCACCAAAGTCATTGTCAATAATGTGTTATTATATAGTCCAATTATTATTTGGTCATATTATAATATTTATTAATATATGTATATATATATACCCAGTAGTTAAAGATTGTTCTAAAAAAAGACTTATACGGTGAGTTATAGATGATATCGTTTTGAGGGTTTTATAATAGAAATAATGCCATATTATTAAAAAATTGTAAGTATCTGTTATTTCAGTCTCTGTAACTTACTTTGAAAGTTTCAAATGCTATCGTTTGTCTACTTAAGATCAATAAATTTAAGTAAATTTAGTATATAAAAAACCTAATACTATATGAAAGACTACCCTTACCACAAGGCTAAATGAGCTTAGACCCAGGGCCTTTTGACAATTTTTCTTCCGTGTATTTTCTTATGAAAAGTGACGCATTATTCTTAATAACGCACGGGCGTAAAATATGATCAGACGGCTTTGAATATATACATAACATTTATTTATAAAAGAAATTAATTTCAGTGAAAGTATCTTAAAAATATTGCAGACGCAATGGTACATAATTAAAATGCTTAAAGAGGTTATCATTGTTCAGCATTATAATATTATAATAACAGAGCAAAGGTTGAAATTATATAAAAATAAATCTGAATTTGCACATTCGTTGTTTAATTTTGATTGCCATAATCATATGTATTGCATTCTGCTTACTTTTTTAACGTTGTCTCTAAGAACAAAGCATTGATATAACAAAATTGACGAAGATAATGTTAGAAATGTGTTGAATGTAGAAGATGATTGTTTTCTGTAAAATATTTATAAAACCTCTTGTCCTTCATTGATGACAAACTGAAAGAAATTCCTGCCAAAATAACTACTAAATATTGAATTAATTTATCGTGTTATATTCCGAATTTGCGTTTTTGGAACTCGCGTTATACGGAAATCTACTGTAAGTTACTTTGAATGACATTGAAAACGTTTTAACTTTTTAGTAAAAATTAATTTTATTTAGGAAAAGTGTTAATGTTAAGTGATATGTGTTAAATGATGTATAGTTAATTATTAAATAAAAGAGAAAAAACCACAAATAATCAACTTTAGACTCATATTAAAGTGTGATTTTACTGTAAATTTATACAATATCATTTTGGTTCGAAACAAATCCTCTTATTTTCTGATCTCATATTCTGAGGAAGTAACTTCGTGGAACGCATTGGTTTGTTAATCACCAAAAATATTCGAATTAATCCTTTTTTACTCAAAAAATGAAATTAAACTTAAGCCACCTTAAGCTTTAAGTAACTTAAAACTGTCGTGATTTCTAGAAACTTTACATTTTCCCCTCTTCGTTAAAGAACATGTTTCTAATTATCGATGTATCGTATTATCATTTCATCCCACAACTATCGCCTAATTAACAATAACAATTATTATCGTAAAACTATAGGAAATATTGCATTGTAACATAATTGTCAATTATCAATACCTATTTTTTGCGTAATATTTAGTATCACATTTTTAAATATTACATATTAAGTATATAACTGTTATATAGTATATTGTGAATGCATATATTAAATACACAATGAATTACTTATCATTCCATTGTTTCCCTAATATTATTGTTTGACTATGTATGTCTTCAATAAAACGTATATGTAGGTACAATATTCAAATTATCTACAATTTGTATTGGTTAATAACAAATCAAAACTTTGATAATCAACACAAATTGTTGTTTATTATATAAAAGATTAAGAAATCTGAGTTGTGTTTGTTCTTTTACTTGCAGATTATTTCTAGAACAAACTGAAATTATTGTACTAGAGTTTCAACAATATTATTTAAAAATTAATAGTATCAATTTAAAAAATGTGATTCGTAATTCGTTATAAAGTATAAACATTTTCATTTATATTAGGGATGTCCAACCTTTTATCTTTCTTGGGCCATATTGGAAGAAGATGATTTTGACCATACATTACGTTTATGAGCAAAAGAACGTAAATATATAGTTAAAATATTTAAATACCGTATTTTTCGGACGTTAAGACGCACCCGAAATTTAAGTGACGATTTTGTCCGAAAAATACGGTAATTTAAACTTTATTAATTCATATTTTCTTAATTATAAAAGATACCAACAAATAATTAGTAAAATTTTGAATAAATGCAATTATTTGAGAATGATAAATGAATTATTGCTAAAGTTTGTATGATAATAATTGTTAAAGTTTGTATGGGCCATCTTCATAGTGGTCCCGGAACACATGCGGCCCGCGGGTTGGACATGTCTTAGTTAACTCTTTGAAGGGACAAAAAATCCTAAATTTCTAGACCCAACAAATTTTTAGACAAATGAAAGCAACTTCGTTAACTGAATCAACATCGTATGACTTATCAAAATGCATCCTTAACCAAATAACCTATACTAACCAAATTAAAGGGTAATTCCTCTTTCTTGGACATTTTCTACAAAATTATAATAATGCCTCACTGCGTGTGTGTCTCAACAACCCTCAAATATTTTTTAAAAAATGATAATAATTAACATGAATGTACTCCAACATAGTTTATTGAAATCATTAGCTGTGACATAATGTCATGTAAATAAAGTCATAAGTAAATAAAAATAAAAAAATGTACTAACAAAAAAATAAAAGTATAAAAAACAACTTGAATTTAAAATTTGCAAATGTTACCTGGATATAATCTGTATATTATAATCGAAGAGTGTGTGTATTTATTTTTTATCACGCAATGTCACCTACGTAACAGCAATGTCAACATAACATAATAGTGTTTCGTGTTAAGTGTAAATAAACTTAAGTGACATTGGTTATGACAATTAGGTTCATTACTTGCAATACAGATTGACATTGACCACTCAAGCACAACATAAACTATAAACACATCACATAAACTATACATCCATTATCAAATTTAAATAGAAAATTCGGATCTCATCAAATTGCAATTACTACAAATTAGCAAATAATAAAATATTACCTGTATTCGTAATTTCCTGTTTCCACCCGATACAAAGGTTCCTGAAGCGCTGCGTAACTGCATTCCTCGTCATCCATTTCTTTTACTTTCAAGCAATACGCTAAATATTCGAATTTTGCATCCGCGTACTTCTTCACTGTTAACCTGGTATCAGGGATGGCCTTGTAAAGATAGGTTCCCATATCTGATAACACCTATATCAAAAAAAGAATATATTTTAATCATACAAGATTATATAAAACTCATTGTTGCAATAATAATTTGCATGTGAAACATATGCTAATATATATTTTTTTTATTTATAATTAAATAAATAAATGTTACAATAATTTAAATTAATGACAAAATAACTTGTAACGAATTTTGCTACATGATTCATAAATTTAAAAACAAAGTATTTAAAGTCTTGAACACCTTGATCTACATCAAATATAAGTTAATGTGTTTTACATAATGTTGCAATCATTTATTTGTTTTGTTAAATATTTCTGAGTCAAGGAAAGCCTAGTTAAATCCACGTTTGTTTGATGAGTTTCTCTATTTTTTATAATTGATTCTAACTACTGTTTTTTAAGTATATGTCAGATTTTTCGTACAAATATATGATATAGTTTGTAAATTGATATATGTCAATATCTCTACTTAAAATGATATTATGGTATAATGTCATTCAGCTGTGTATTATAAAATTGATTTGTATAGATAATGGACACAGTCCATGATGTAAAAATGTTGCACAACAGTTAGCTTTTCATAAAGTGATAGCGACTCACTTTTCTTAACAATCTAAATATATGAAAAAAAATGGTTTTCTTGAGATATAATACTAAAATAAAATTGTATTAAATATTGACAATCTAAAAATAAATACAGTTACCACTACTATTTCTGTAGTTGTAGCTTTACTTACAGGTTTTACTGCTTTCAACATTTTAATTCCCAACTTCTCCATACTTCGATGTTGCTCTGCAAACAACCTGAAAGCCTCGCTAGCTCTAGGCTGAGGCTCTCTAACCGCCAACTCAGCAAACACTTCACCCATTTGTTTGACAGCCAAAGAAAGATCGAGATGAGCCTTAAAGTATGAACATTAAATTATTACGTTCTCCAGATTATCGACTTTCGATTTAGCTAACCCTTAAAACCCTATCGCAATGCTCGACCAATCCTCTATACATAATTTCCGTATCCTGAAGCTCTTGCAGCTTCTTCACCAAAGTATCGTTGCACAGAATCGCCCTGGAAAGCCCAAGCGCGTCGGCCGTTGAGGAACTCATATTTTCTACCAACCTGTGTTTGACCTTCTTCAAAACAATGTCCAGAGACTTTCCCTGCTGCGGATCGGCGTGCAACTTATTATAGTTTATAATAACTTCGTCCTGAAATGAGATTCACTTCAATAAAGAAGATCGCCCAAATCTAAAGTTGGATTAAGTACTTTAGCTGCTTGTATCATCTTGGCGACTTCAACCTTGGTCTTGCCCTTGACGGCTTGATTGTTTACAGCCACAAGCTCATCCCCAGATTGAAGAGTGCCGTCTTTGCTCGCAGCTGTATTATCGAATATCTGGACTATGTAGAGGCAAGGGCACAGCGGTGCGCCACCTCCGATGCTGATTCCGATCAAATTGTTACTGTCTTTCTTTATGACTACTGTGCCGGAGGTCACAGTCATCCCCCTAAAATTGAACACAATTAGAACATCGAATATTAAAAAATATGTCAAACAAACATATAGTAATTGTAATTTCTGGAACATGAATATTTTTTACATAAAATGTGCAATTTATAGCAATAAAAAGAAACAGACTCGCTTCAACAATTCGCTATAAGATTGGTTTGTGTTTGCATGAGATTTGCGAGTGAAATTCAAAAATAATGTTTGTCCAGCGATAAATAATCACGTTAATTCAAACTTAAGTAATAAAAAATATGTTGCAAACATTGTAAAGAAAAGTAGAATTTACATATTGTGAAAATTAANGACAAAAACGCGCAGTAACAAAACCTTAGGTTCAGGGAGTTTGATTTTAGATGTATTTTAAAAATATATACAAATTATCATGCATTTGACTTGGTTGTTATAGGGCTCACTTTTGATGGTGCGCGTTTTTGTCGGCGCGATTTTGTCCTCGGCGCTTTTTTTACTGCGCCATATGTTGCAGCAGTTGAAGATGTATCTTAATTGTATGTTAATAGTAACTTATTAATACAAAAAAATATATTCTTTTGAAATATAAACATTTACTATTCAGCTGTCAAATGTGCAGATGTATTATTTGCAAGAAGTAGAACTGATATAAAATTTGATGTAAAAGCTTTTTAATTTTACCAAATTGGTATGATGTACTTGAAATCTTAGAACTGATATCAAGGTCATTGATATTTTTTAGAAGAAAAAAAAATATAAAAAAACTAAAAAATAAATCATAAGTAAATTTAAATTGTGAGACTTTGTATAACACTTATGTTTTCCTCATAACTTGAAATACCGATGATGTTTGGCATAAACATGTGAAATAAAGACCATTTCTGTCTACATCAAAAATATTGTGTTATTGAATGAAAATAAAATAACTCACAATATATTAACTAGTCATTCTAAAATAGCTGACCTCTAAATGTTATCAATAAGTTACCTATCAGCATGCATACTTTCAATAACTTGTTCTAAATTATCCGTAACAATTTCGCTAGAATTAAAGTTATTTTGAATTTAATCACGTACATGATTCTAAAACTATGCAAGAATCAAACAATATTCGAATGCGAATAATCGCAAGTCTAAATATCCAATTTGAAAACTATTTATGAAGAAACTAATTAATACACGACATCTTACACTAATCTTTATACTGCTATAAAATATATTCAAACTTTAAATGTCTTAATCGGTAATAATAAATTATCTTATGTGTCTTAATGTTTGTAATATGCACTTAAATGTTATGGGATTATAGGAGATTAAAATATGCCGCACAGTTTGTGAGTCTAACTAATGGCTTAGTGTTAATAAATGTGTTGACTATTTTATGTATTGATGTTTATAATATGCACATAATGTTATAGGACTAAAGAAGATTAAAATAAGCCGCACAATTTGTGAGCCTAACTACCAGGGTGTTTAATAAAAAAAATGAAATAACTGAGACTAAACTATTTTTGGAATTGTAGTTTCGTATATAATATTTTTAAGTGGTAATAGGACTAAACTTAATTAGCTAAAGCAAAAACCGTGCGTTTTCCCTAGATCATGCTCTGGATCCTATACTTTGGAAGCTCTCTCTCAACCCCTAATTGATACTTACAAGGTGTTCTCCCTGAGAACTTTGTCCTCAAAAGTGAGCACATCAAAATCACATTTCCCAGCCTCTGTTAAATAATCCTTTTTCTCGTCGCTGCATCGAAATTGAAAAAACAAATATATAAAGAACATCATAACGTGACAAACAAGTCCATACGGAAGCGTTTTCTATATTTTCTTCTCTAATCCCACCCCCAATAATAAAATATAAGATGTTGTTTACTTACAGTTGCACGTCAATTAAAGCAGCGGTTTCCATGATTCTTTAAGCTTAGTTTTTTTTTAGTTTAATTAAAACTAATGGTAAATGAAATGTATTAAAAGGTAATTACAATTTGTCTTCGTAAGCCAATTCGGCGAAGTGCATGTGGTAAAGGGACGTCGGGAGGCCCATGTACGGAGTCGTCGGCACGGACCACATATTTAGGTTTTATTGTATATAATTTGTTTGCTTTTTGTATCTCGGTATCAACCAGTATCCCCCAATTCCAAAAATAACACACAAAAATGCAGGAAAATTAAGAAATTTGCATGCAGCGTTCTTTAGTCTCTTTTTTTTACAACACCATCACACTAAAACAAGTAACAAAAGTAAATAAAAAAAAGAGAATATGTAAATGAAGAAACAACAGAAAGGATACGTATGGAAAGCAAAGTGGTTAAAACAAAGTAACCGGAAAACGGTTATCGCAATTGTTAAGATAAGAGGTTTCGTATGCAAAAGGACACGTACATTTTGTCTTCCTCCAAGAAGTAGTCATCGTCAAAATCCAAGTTAAACATTGTGTGTTGTCGAGATGTCTTGTTGTACTGTCGAAGAGCTACGTGTGTGGATATGGAGGCGTCGCGACGCTTATTGATTTTCATTCGAATACGCACAAGCCGCGACATCTCTGAACAAGTAGTCAAAGCTATCGAAGAGTTGCGCTCCGAAATTTAAAAATTATTATTGTTTTTCCGGCTACGAATTAATGTGTGATGTTTAATTGACGATTTTCGTAAGCATTTGTAGCAGCATTGTTTAGATGTTTCGGAGTTTATTTGTTTTGGAGTGTTGTGCGTTCGTAAAACAACAACAAAACAAAGAACCATCCAAGGCAAGGTCAAGCGTGTAACGTACTTAAGTCGCGGCAGAGAGGTGCTTCCGTTTAGTCTTTGGTTTTTGGTGGCCTTGTTAATTACGAGCGATGCGATCGGTTATCGCATTCTTATCATTGGTGGCATGGATGCAAACAGCATCCTCACAGCAAGTGCCTCCTGTTAAACTGGAAGCTTTCGCTCCAAAAGGATTCCGCGCTTCAATTCCAGGTATAAACAATTAGTATTATATTTAAAAAACACGAATCCTCATTCAACCTTTGATCTTTACAACAGATGCTCCTGGTATTGAACTCTTCGGTTTCCATGGAAAGAAGAACGCACCGATCGGTATGTCGGAGGAAGGAGAGTTCAGCATGGATATCTTAAAGCCAGTAAACAACTTCTGGGTGTTTAATGATCCCGAACTTACCCTACAAGTCGGCGACGAAATCCACTATTGGGTTTTCGTGCAGCATCGCAAATTGGGATACAGAAAAGATAACCAGAAATGGATTGTCCCTGGTATAAAAACGATAATCATACATACGACTTGAATTTAAGACTTATATGTACTTTTAGAATTGTTATCACAATCGGAATTGCACTGTTCGACATCGACTACAACCGTGAATGGAAACAACATGATTTGCAAAGAAACCATCATTTTTGAAGACTACTTTCAAAATTTGGATGAGTCCCAATGGGTGATCGAGAGTTACATTCCAAACAGCGGACCTGTAATATATTAAAATACCGAATAACTTTATTTGACTAATATGTAATATCTATTTATAGAATTTCGAATTCAATTCTTACGAAAACTCGAGGAATACCATCAAAGTTGTTAACCAAAAATTGCGCATCACTCCAGTAGCCAAAGAGTCAGAATCAGAGTTGAGAGGCGTCTTGGATTTAACAGCCGGGTAAGATAAATAATTTAAAACTAATTCATTTTTAATTGTCTCATTTGAAAAAAAGTATTACATAACAAGTAATTTTAATACTATCAAAAACAAAATAGTACTATATATAAGAATCAGTATATTTTACTGAATATTACTTATAATAAGTATATAAATATCTCAATATTATAGTTTTATTATCATTATATCATCGCAAATATATTATTAATACCTAGAAAACAGCGCATCTGCTTTCCACTTGTTATCCTATTACCTATCTATAAATAATCAATCATTAACTTAAATTTGAAATGTCTATAATTGCTGTATTGATTTTTTGTAAAATACTACACGGCAATTTATTAGTTGCGTATTGAGTAAATGTTGATAAAATTTAAAAATAGAAATAAACAAATATTAAATGCATATTTCAAAATATAATCAAAGAACAAATTTATCTGAAACTAAATTTAAACTTATTATGTATTGAATAGTAAAATGGTTAAATATATTAAGTATCATTTCCTAAATCCATTTCTTAAAGTTTTAAACTTATTAATTGTTATTCAATTGAAGTGAGTTATAGTTAAATAATCATGTTGGAAGAAAATATGTAAAATAAATTGACTTTATCATAATTATAGGTAATTGCTTTTGCGGTTTCTAATTAAAATTATATATGTTTATTGTTGGTTGTGATTATAAATTATACTATAAATATTGTAATGTAAATCAAATAGACGATTTATCTGATTATCGGATTCTAAGAAACGTTGGTCAACGACTTTACAATGAAATTGTCTTCATAAACAACATTTAAAGAAAAACTGGTATTAACTTGTATTTATTGGTTCTCAGATGCACGAGTAAATTTCCAAAGGATTGTTACCATAAGCAGGAAGCGGCGTACTTTTTGCCTCCAGTTAAATCAGGAAAGATTCGTTCGAAAATCAGCTTCAAGTATGGAAGGATCGATGTGAGAGCGAAACTTCCGAGCGGGGATTGGTTATTCCCAGGTAGATTGAATTTGGTTTAGGACGCGGGGAAAACCATAGTCCCAAGTCATTTAACATCAACTGTATACATTTTTTAGATATCAGTCTGGTGCCTATTGACCGATCGAGTCATGATGTCAAGATCATCGTCGCATATTCCAGAGGAAACGAACATTTGACCGGAAACGATGGCATCGATATCGGTGGAAACCTTTTGTTCTCAGGACCCATCGTTTCCGCTTCGGAGCCGACGAGAAGTCTGCATTTGAGGAGCAAGAGACACGATAGGCCTTTTAACAGCGAAGTCCATACGTATTCTATAATCTGGAAGCCAGGTAAGTGTTTCTTAAAAGCTTGTAGAACCATTACTACTATCTATTTGCAGATAAAATCATCTCTTTGATTGATAACGTGGAATTTGGAAAGGTCACTATCATCGACGAGATTAACGACATGGAACACAGGGAAGCGTTGAACAAAGAGGTAAATATATTGTCAATTTTCAATAAAACTTGAGTTTAAAATTAAGACTCGTAAAAAAAAACAACAGATTATGAATGAACTAATAATTATTAATATATTTGATTCAATATTAAGCAACAACACTTACAGAATCAAGTCATGTTTATTATTTTCTTCTCCAATTTTCATAGGTCATTTACGTAGCAGATATCAAATGACCAAACAAAACATTTTTTTATTACTTTTTTAACTCAATAATATATAAAATCTAGATACGCATCAAATTCAAAGATTAAGTCAAATAAATATTATTTCTTTAGCGAATTCTCGTAATGGATGATATTCAGCTTGTAATTTTACTGTGAACAAGTTATTAAATTGATGACAATTATTTATATTGATGCAAAATTAAGACAAAAAAAACATGGATAGGCGATGGTTTTTTTAGATAATGGAGAATACACATTGGACTCTCTAAAAAAAATAACAATAATTACAAGTATATTTTTGATATTTGAAAGTATCGAAGTCTATATTTTGGAGATTGCCACAAATGATATTTTTTTAAGAAAACAACAACATTATCGACAGACATGATAATACATCATATATTTTTAATTGTACAGAACATTAACTTCAATTTAAATTTAGTATAAGGAAAGTTTTTCTGCCTATTTATTATAATTTACATTTCAATCATTACTAAATCATAAATAAATCAAATGTATACTTAAAATATCGTAAATAACATAATCTAATGTTCTTTAAATATGGACAATTTTAATAATTATGCAGATTTAAATAGTTAAAACCATAAAAAGTTTAGCAAAAAATACCTAACCATAAGTCTTTCTGCCCCGTAAACGTAAACTATTTCTTATAAATCTTAATTAGCTGAATAGACATTGAAACATCCGATTATAGAAGTTATTGTAATTATAAGATAATTAAAGGTTATCAATGGCAATGCTCAATCTTTGGAAATTCCTATTACGTATTTTTTAAACGTTTTCGTTTTTCACGTTATGCGACACTTTCACACTTTGACAATTCACTTATTATTTCCATTCATTGATTGAAATAATATATTACTTGTAAACTGATATATAAAGTGAAGATTAAAATTGTTAATAACAAAATTAAATTTAATTTTGCTGATGTGATATTATTAAAACTCGAAAAAAGTAACGATTTATTTTACATAAAACTCAATGATTGTGTGAAATCATAAACGAAGTTTATGATTCGTATAACCAGGAATTTTGTTAAGTTTTACCTGTATAAGTAACATATATATTTTGTTTTCGAGCATACCAAAATCTAAAAGGATATTTATGTACTTTTATCATTAGTTTGGAGATTGCTTTAAGTGGTTACATTTATAACATAACAACAATATTATAGATATGTGGAATACGGAGACAATTCCAGGTAGAAATAATTACTTTTTACGGTAAAATTGATCAAACGTTTACTTTTATGCTACGTTCTATACTTAACCGTTTGCAGATTGTAATTGTTTTATTGTTTGCTAATAATTTATATTTATGGACATGATAAATGTTTAATAACAAAATTATATAACATAATCGCATAAGAATTGCTTAAGGCATATTGATATGAAATATTGAATAATGATGAAATATATGCTTCTCTATACGAAAATTTCTTGGTAATTGTTTGCATCGTTTCATTGAAATCCTTAATTCTGTAATATAATTCCTTTTCGAAATTGATAAACTATTGAGAACAAAATTGATTGAATCAAGGAAGCATATATTTTCAATATTTAATAATATCAATATTTAATATTTCTGTGAATCTTTTCGAGGTGCAATCAGTTATATTTTGATTTTGCTGAAAAATATAATTGTTTTAATCTGCATTAAATCGAAATTAAATCAGTTATTAAACGGATAATATTAACGCAGAAACATTCAAATCTATATAGAACACTTGTCACAATTAAAAGAAGATTAAAAAAAAATAGAGTATAAACCCAATTGAAATCAATATTAATTTCTCCTTGCTCTTTCTGTATAGAACTAAGGATTTGATATGAAATGTAAAATCTATTTTCAAACATGAGGATTTCCAAAATTTTGGAATTGTTTATCTGACGTATATAAACAAATATGTCCTAATCATTATTTTTACATTATCCTCTTTTTTAGACTTAGATTTAGTGGTTCATTGAAAACATATTTTTTATATTCTAGTAGAGAGGAAAGGATTTGATATAGTAACTAATCTTCCTAAATGAGAAAACTTGTATATTAATAATAACTATTTATAGAATAAAATTAATGAGTTAAGAGACTTAACTCGTTCTGCTTTAAATGATAACATTGATAGTAAAATCTGTATTTTTATATATGATATAATCGACGAATATAATTTGAACTGAACATTATAAATTACAAGGTTTCTAATATTTCTAATTTGCTAAAAGTTTATATAAGATTTATTATGAATAATTACATTTCAGTACATGAAAATTTTTTAATGTTTTAAAAATTATTTATTAAAATATTTTTAAGGGTAATATTTGATTTAAAATAAATGTATTCAGATGATTTTATAATCTGTTGAATCGCTTCAAAATCTTAAACCAATGCTTCTAGACGTCAATGCTAAAACCGGTTTTGGGGTAGGTCTTATAGTTTGTAAACATCTTAAGGTCATCGATTTTAACTTGTTTTTCGATTTCTACATAACGTTTAGACATTCATTGTTTTTATAAGTCTTCTAGGAAATTAAAATTGCGGCAAATCATTCAAATCAATTTTGTTTCAGTTTTATTTAACAATTGGTGTGGGAGTTGGAGGTAACAACGATTTCCCGGATTACTACAAGTCCGGATCAAACGTGAAGCCTTGGATAAACAGGGACAGGAGGTCGGTGAAGACGTTCTTCGATGCAAGGAACCTTTGGCTTCAAACGTGGAGAGGAGACAACGTGGATTTGATCGTCGAATTTGTAAAAGTGTTTTCTCTTTAGATAAGCCAAGTGGAAAGGAGGATGAAGCAAATATAATCAAAACATATTTATCGTAGTTATTGTTTTTTCTCTTCAAATGACTGACCTCTAAAATAAAATGAATACTGTATTAAAGTCTGATTGCTTTCACCCATCCGGGAATCCCTAACATTACATACCCAAGTCGTTTCCCCACATATATTTTAATACAAAATGCGAGCGGATTCAATGTCAACAGAATAAACGAGTTCGTAGATGTATCAGTTGAAGAAAATGGTTGACGGAGAGAAGATGTTGCTGCGACTCTGTGTTATCAGTGCTGTTATCATGGCCACGGTTCAGTTCGAAGTACCAACAGCATTAGTGGAACCTCTTTCGCCTAAGGGTTTTAGAGTTTCAATTCCTGGTAAAGACAGTTAATTAATTGCTTAAGCTCAGATAGGTTTGCAAAGAAATCATGAGGGCCAAGTATCTATTTTCGCTCTCGCTTCAACAAATCAAATATTAAATAACGAATAATATCTCATTGAATTGTATCGAATCCATTAAAATATATACAAATCCATGTTTATTTATGGAATGTATCGTTTGTACGGACTTGTTTATGTCACGCACGACTGAATCTCACTAATTCATTAACTCCATGCATTATCCACAAAAACAATTTATATATTATTTTCTGTAAATATAATTTAAATTTAAATTAATTTAACTTCAAAACCAAGTAATAACAATTAATAAATAATGAGCAATAAGTCCTTGACGATAGTTGATTTAAAAAAAGAAGAGATAATAAAAAGCAGTAATTCGAAAACAATGTACAAGTGTGAACAAAGCATTCCCGGAATAAATATTTTTTTAAACTTATTTCTTTATGGTTGAATACTAGATGAAGAAGGAATCTCGCTATTCGCTTTCCATGGAAAAATCAATGAGGAGATGAACGGCAGAGAGGGTGGAACATTTTCAAGGGACATAACGAAAGCAAAAAACGGGAGATGGACTTTCGTAGATAAAACAACGAAATTGAAGCCAGGAGACACAATTTATTATTGGACTTATGTGGATTACTTCGATGGCAGAAATAAACTGGGTTATCCCAACGATGATCAAATGTTCACTGTAACCGGTAATTGATTCCGAGCAATAGTCACATTGAAGTCAATGACGAGGTTCGTTTTTCAGAATTAATTTCGGAATCTGCAACACCTAAGCCCGTTGATCCGAATCAAGGAAATTCGAACTGCCCCTATTCTCCGACGACAGTGAATGGAAAAACCTCTTGTTCCGGAAAGGCCATATTCCAAGAAAATTTCGAAAATAATAGGTTGGAAAATTGGAAACCGGAAATACGCTTCGCCGGACAACCAGTAAAGTTTATTATAAAATACAATTATTCAGTAATTAATTTTGATTATGCTAGGATTTTGAATACGTTCTATACAATGCTGACTACTTTGAGATAAAGCAAAATAAGTTAATCATTAAACCGCAATTGTCCGACGAGCTATTTGGACTGGGCTTTGTCAGTTTGCCTCGTGGATTAGATTTGGGTACAAAGTGAGCGAAATTATAAATTAAACCAATGCAGGCGACAATAACAACATATGTATTTGAAGGTGTACCGGGAATATAGGAACATTGGACTGCGTTCAGAAGCCGCAAGCGTTCATAATTTTACCACCAGTAATATCATCAATGATTACAACGAAGAATCATTTCAGTTTCAAGTACGGTATTATCGAAGTCAGAGCAAAGCTGCCAAAGGGCGATTGGTTATATCCAGGTTAAAAAAAAACGATTTAAACGTTTATGAGATTTACAATATTTTGAACTTTTAGAGCTGTTTTTGAATCCGAAGGGTTACGAGTACGGTAGTGGTTATGAATCTGGTCAGATCCGAATTGCGTTCTTGCCTGGAAACCAACGCATGTCTAATAAACTGTACGGAGGATGCATTTTAGGAAGCAGCCTAGCTGCTAGAAATTACGCCATGAAATCTCTTGAGAAGAACATCAACTGGGCAGATGATTTCCATGTGTTCCGTGTCAGATGGGAGCCAGGTAAATGCGTAATGGTAGTGTTATGAGCAAGCTAATATAGTTTGATTGTAGCTAAAATCAGTCTTTTTGTGGACGACGAAATGTATGGCGTTATAATTCCTCCCGATGGCGGTTTTGCAAGTAAAGAACACGATCTTGATTTATTAGGAGCTAAAAGATGGAGTGAGTCTGGAGATGTTATGGCGCCGTTTAATAAAGAGGTAAAGTGTTGGTATTGTTATATGATTGCTTCTAATAATACGTTATTTGCTATTTAGATGTACATAACGATTGGAGTTGGAGCCGGTGGTCACTCTTTCCCGGACAACGCGAATAAACCATGGATCAACAACGATGGTAAAGGACAGAAGATATTCTACAGGAATCGCGACAAATGGCACTCAACTTGGGGTGCAGACAGTGCATTAGAAGTAGATTATGTAAATGTTCACGCTCTTTAAAAAGAAGTGTAATAATAATTATAGGAACTGCGCATTTTATATCACGATTTTCTCCGTAAATAAAAATAAAATATTAAATCATTCCATTACGGTTGGTCTTTCTGATAATCAATTTGGCGTTGGAGCGGTATATAAATAGATACATCTGTGTGCATCACAATTCAGTTGCAATACAGTCATGAAAGCGATCGTGAGTGTTTTGTTGCTAATCGCGGTCGTCCGTGGAAAAGATTGCGAAATATCCAAAACAACGGTGGGCGGATCATTAAAACCGCAAAATATATGTTCCGGAGATTTGATATTCAGCGATGAATTCGATAAGTTTGATTTAAAAACGTGGCAACATGAGAACACACTGGCAGGTGGAGGTGTAAGTGGTAATTTACTTATAAGATTCGTTTCTAAATTTCGTTTTTAGAATTGGGAATTTCAATGGTACACTAATAACAGATCAAACAGTTATGTTTCTGATGGAAAACTGTATATTAAACCAACTTTGACTTCGGACCATTTGGGGGAGAAAGCTTTGACTTCGCAAACTTTGGACATCAACGGCGGCGCTATTGCTGATAAGTAAATTAAAGCCGTTTTGAGTATATGCTTACAGCTGTTATTTTAGATGTACAAATCCTGCGTTTTACGGTTGTTCAAGAACAGGTAATCCAGATAATATCTTGAACCCGGTGAAAAGCGCGAGAATAAGAACCATGAACTCGTTTCATTACAAGTACGGTAGATTGGAAGTCAAGGCCAAGTTGCCGATGGGCGAATGGCTTTGGCCGGCGATTTGGTTGATGCCAAGGAACAATGCTTATGGTTTTTGGCCGTCATCCGGAGAAATCGATATTGTCGAAGGACGCGGAAACAAAGATCTTATTCAAAACGGTAACAACATTGGAATTGAACAGATGTCATCCACGTTGCACTGGTGTCCAAACTATTGTCCCAGCAATAAGTTCAACACACATTGGGAGAAGAACAGGAAGAATGGATTCAATGATTGGCACGTCTACGAATTCATATGGACGCCCGATGCAATGACATTCATAGTCGATGGCGAACAGTATGGAAGCGTTGCTCCGCCAGAAGGAGGATTTTGGGAGTTGGCCAATGCGACTTCAGGCAATCCGTGGAGGGGAAGTACAAAAATGGCGCCTTTCGATGAAGAATTTTATATCATCATTAATTTGGCTGTTGGCGGTATCAGTTACTTTCCAGATGACGCGACTAGCCCGAAGGGTAAACCTTGGGAAAATAATTCACCAATTGTAAGGAAATCTTTAATGAATCGATGTAAAACCTAATATTTGTATTTTAGGCGATGAAAAAATTCTGGGATAAGCGCGGAGATTGGCTTCCAACATGGCATTTAGATAGCGGAGATGACGCAGCTTTGCAAGTGGATTATATAAGAGTGTATGCTTTATAAATGGAAAAATATACTATAATTGCAAATAAAAAGAAACTAACTTACCAATATATGAAGAACAATCAACTGACGTTCATGCTATATGTCAAAGTCATAAACAGTTGCACTATTTTACAAAATGTCTATATGATGGTCCATCCCGAATTGATCGCAGCTTTATGCACCGCTTTGACATTTGCATGTTCTGTCCAAATAATTATCACCTGTTTCTTGCAGTTTCCATTCACCAAATATTTAACAGTATTGAATTGTAATTGGGCTACGGCTGCTGGAGTTTTATCCGGATTGGTCACAGTTCCTACCGTGATTCAATTACGAGCCGCCTCCGTGTAAGTTCCATTAAATAAACAAATCCATTAAACAAACTTTCAAATAAACATCCCAATTATATTCGAATTTCCCGCTTTTAAAATAATAGTAAAATATAAAATTGCAATTATTTGAAATGTTGTCATAGATATGCGCATTGTACAAATATTTATATATTAGTATCATGGATGTGTGCATTAAATAATTTATGTTATAATTGATAAACGATATATGATCTATTTTTTTAAAATTGTAATTAGATCGTCGCACGTTGGAATGAAGTACGGTTATACAGTTCATTACAAAAGATTGGCAATTGGAACTTGCGCAATCCTGCAGACTGTAACTTGGGTTTGCACGGTGATCAATATTTATTCAAATTATGACGAAAATACTTTCTTAAATATTATGAAAGTCTACGATAAAGACAAAACTAGTAAGACGATCGTGGATAATATACAATGGTTTTTGCAATGTTGCGGCGCGAAAAAGTATGACGATTGGTTCGAATTGGATTGGGGAGGTTTTCTATTCGGCGCGTTCCGCAGGTAATCTTGATATAACTCACTAAGTTATGAGCTTAGATTTTACTGTTTTAAGGAAGAAATCTATCAAAGAATTGCTCTATGGAAATACTGATGACTATCCGGATTTGGTCACAATGAGATCGGATGCGGTGCCATTTTCTTGCTGTTCTGAAAATGCAAAGGCTGCGTGTGTCCATCAAAATTTGGAACAGTTCGGAACGTACACTATTAATACAGTCGGATGTACTAACAAAATAATGTCTACTAAGCAATCCATTTTAATGACAGAATTTTTTATCTACACGATATGTCTAGTATTAGAAGTAAGAGAACTAAGATATATAATATTGTTTGATTGCTTACTTACGAAGTTTACTTCTTCCAGATCACTATTTTAGCTTTACTACTAAAAACATCGGAAGTATATGTAGACAGTTCGGTGTCAAATAAATGCTTTCATAGGTGAGGAAATGATTTATTTA